ACTGCCTCCATGTGGGATGTTATTGGAAAGATCTGAAGGGAATCTTTCTCAGAGTCCTGAGGAAGGAGAGGCCTGTGAGAGTCCGTGTACTACACAAAGGTGGCCGGGAAACCGTCCAGGACAGGGACAGAGTAAATCCAGTCACAGAAGCAGAAGGTTGAACACAAACACAGAAACTGTTCAAGAGAAAATCCCCCATCAACAGTCACCCTTGTCTTATGGTGACTGTGCGACTCTTATTAAACGTGAAAGAGCCCACACAGGAGAAAAACCCTTCAAATGCTCTGATTGTAGGAAAAGTTTCAGTTGGAGCTCAAGTCTTGTTAGACATGAGAGAATCCATACAGGGGAGAAACTCTTCAGCTGCTCTGACTGTGAGAAAAGCTTCAAGGAGAGGTCAAACCTTGTTAAACATGAAAGAACCCACACAGGAGAGAAACCCTTCAGCTGCTCTGACTGTGGGAAAAGCTTCAGTGTGAGAGTATATCTTGTTAATCATAAGAGAATCCACAGAGAGGAGAAACCATTCAGCTGCTCTGACTGCAGGAAAAGCTTCAGGCTGGGGTCACAGCTTGTTATCCATAGGAGAGTCCACACAGGGGAAAAACCCTTCAGCTGCTCTGACTGTGGGAAAAGCTTCAGTGTGAGAGTATATCTTGTTAATCATAAGAGAATCCACAGAGAGGAGAAACCATTCAGCTGCTCTGACTGCAGGAAAAGCTTCAGGCTGGGGTCACAGCTTGTTATCCATAGGAGAGTCCACACAGGGGAGAAACCCTTTAGCTGCTCTAACTGTGGGAAAAGCTTCAAGGAGAGGTCAGACCTTGTTAAACATGAAAGAACCCACACAGGAGAGAAACCTTTCAGCTGCTCTGACTGTGAGAAAAGCTTCAAGGAGAGGTCAGACCTTGTTAAACATGAAAGAACCCACACAGGAGAGAAACCCTTCAGCTGCTCTGAGTGTGGGAAATGCTTCAGTGTGAGAGTGCATCTTGTTAAACATAAGAGAGTCCACACCGGGGAGAAACCCTTCAGCTGCTCTGACTGCAGGAAAAGCTTCAGTCAGAGCTCACAGCTTGTTATCCATAGGAGAGTACACACAGGGAAGAAATCCTTCAGCTGCTCTGAATGTGGGAAAAGTTTCCGTTGGAGCTCAAAACTTCTTATCCATAGGAATACCCACACAGGAGAGAAACCTTTCAGCTGCTCTGACTGTGGGAAACACTTCAGTCAGAGCTCAAGTCTTGTTAGACATGAGAGAGTCCATTCAGGGGAGAGACCCTTCAGCTGCTATGACTGTGGGAAAAGCTTCAAGGAGAGGTCAGACCTTGTTAAACATGAAAGAACCCACACAGGAGAGAAACCCTTCAGCTGTTCTGACTGTGGGAAAAGCTTTAGTCGACGCTCAAATCTTCTTATCCATAGAAAAACCCACACAGGGGAAAAACCCTTCAGCTGCTCTAACTGTGGGAAAAGCTTCAGTCGGAGCTCAGGTCTTGTTAGACATGAAAGAACCCACACGGGGGAGAAACCCTTCAGCTGTTCTGAGTGTGGGAAATGCTTCAGGCTGGGGTCACACCTTGTTATCCATAAGAGAGTCCACACAGGGGAGAAATCCTTCATCTGCTCTGACTGTGGGAAAAGCTTCAGTCGGGGTTCAAATCTTGTTAGACATCAGAAAGTCCACACAGGGGAGAAACCCAAGAACAGAGGTGAGCAAAAACCTCTCAGCAAACAGAATCCAAGTTGCCTAGGGTTTTGATCCTGCCCAGAGGCAGGGCCAGACCCTGCCTCTAACAGCCATCTCTGCCCCTCCTCCTGCTGTGTAGCTCCTGGAGAGGAGGCAGCACTGGGGCTGAGGCTCCACCACTCTACCTGGAGCCAGCCTCAGAGCCTGGAGGCACCACTGCCACTGCCTTGTCATGAATCACAAAGGCTACGTCTACACTGGCATGATTTTCCGGAAATGCTTTTAACGGAAAAGTTTTCTGTTAAAAGCATTTTCGGAAAAGCACGTCTAGATTGACAGGACGCTTTTCCACAAAAGCACTTTTTGCAGAAAAGCGTCCGTGGACAATCTATACGTGCTTTTCCACAAAAAAGCCCCAATTGTCATTTTCGCGATCACGGCTTTTTTGCGGAAAACAAATCTCTGCTGTCTACACTGGCCCTTTTGCACAAAAGTTTTTCAGAAAAAGACTTTTGCCCGAACAGGAGCAGCATAGTATTTCCACAAAAGCACTGATCATCTTACATGAGATCGTCAGTGCTTTTGCGGAAATTCAAGCAGCCAGTGTAGACAGCTGGCAAGTTTTTCCGGAAAAGTGACTGGCCAGTCTAGACACTGCCAAATAGTGTGAATGATTGATGTGAGTGAATTAACAGTAAATAAGCTGAAGAGAGGCTATGTTTTTGTCCGAGTCAGTTGATGGCAGCCACTGTGGAGTATAGACTTATTTATTACTTTGAGAAAGACGACTGTGTGCGCTGAGAAAGCAGAACTGCACAGAAGGAGGCAACATTTCCAGATAAGAGAAGTCAATGAGGGAGGAACTTAACCAAAGACATTCCATCGCTTATTGTTCATGGTTAGGCAAGCAGAATTGGGTGATGTAAACAGTGTTCCAAGATCAGCTGTGAACACACCCACAGGAGGTGCAATCAACGGATATCACCTCACTTGAACTGTCTGTCTCCGAGGGGATATATACCACTCTGTTTTGCCACGTTATTTGGAGTCCATCGATTCAGCATTGTGGAGTGACATGCATGTCGGCGGTGCTTTTTTTGTGATGGTATTGCCTGGTACGCCATACTGGCACCTCCAGACGCAGTAACAGCACCTCCAGTCAGAGCTCAACAACTTTTCCCTTGGAGTACTGGCACCTTATTTTTTTTTTTTAAACAAAAAAACAATTGCTGCATATCAGACTTTTGCCTCAAATTAACCAAGATTACCTGGGGTTTGGCCAAACCCAGAGGGTAAATGCTATGTGAGAATGTGCTTGTGAGAGTGTGTATCAAAATCAGGTTAAGAATTAGACTAACTAATAAATCTGAACATTGAATTTAAATTGTTTGCAATAAAGTTTGGTAAAGGCATATTTTGTCTGCTGTAGCTTCATTGTTCCATGCCAGACTGAGCAACAGTGCCCCCTTGTGATAGCACCTCTGGCCTCCAGGGCTAGGTCATTGCCGCAGCAGCAGAATCTCATACCTCCATGTCCACCTCATGTCCATGGCAGCAGAATCTCGTGCCTTGGGGCTGCGTGGCCATGACAGTGGTACCTTCAGGGCTGGCCCTGAGCTACATGCCTGTGGCAGTGATGCCTCTAGCCTCCAGGGCTGACCCGCAGGTGCATAGCTGTGGCTGTGGTGCCTTTGGCCTCCGGGGCCAGCCCTGGACTGTGTGGCTGCTGCTGCAGCAGAGCCTCCCTCTGGGATGGCAGGGACAGTGTGGCTGGAGATGTTGCTGCAAGCCAGGTAATGTTCCTCCTCATCCCCAGACCCCCCATCCCCAACACCCAGCATCCCCAGTTTGCTCTGATACTCTCCCTTGTTCTTGCACCATCTCTCCTGGCCACATGCTGCACCCTCCTTTGTTCCTTCTCCCTCCACCTAGCCAGGCACCTGACTCCAAGCCTGCTTCTGCACCCCAGCTCCCTCCCAGATCCTGCACCTCATTCCTGTCCTACTTACTGGCAGCCCTGCCTCACACACTGTATCCCTCCCTCCTTTTTGTCCCTACCCCAGAGCCTATGGAGGTCCATAAAATCTAACTCCAGAAAAGTAAATCTGGTCTATGAGCAGCCCTGAACCTCAGTTCCCTCCCCTTCCCTTTCTCTCACCATGAGTCTGGGGCTCCAGAGGACTGAGGTGCCTTAGTTGGGACCACATCTGTGAGCGTTGGGATATTTTGAAGGAGTTTTTTTTGTTTCTCACTTGTGCGGTCCCTGACTGATTTTTCTGTGGGTCAATGACTCCCAACCCAAAAATGGTTTTTCACCCCTACCTTAAATAAAGAAAACATTGAAACCTTTTGTGTTGGGCATAATGTTTTACTTTGTTTAAAATGAAGTTTGACAAAGTAACATGGGAAAATCAAAATGTTTGATCTGTTTTATAATGTAAGTTAAACTGATCTCCCCAGCTGCAGCACTAGCAAAATGGCTCAGGTGAGTAACAGTGAGGCTACGTCTACACTGGCCCCAAATTCCGGAAAAGTCATGCAAAGCAGGTAAGTCAGAATAGGGAAATCCGCGGGGGATTTAAATAAACATGTCCGCCGCTTTTTTTCCGGCTTTTCCCCAAGCCGGAAAAAAAGCGGCGACAGGGTGAACCTCTCTCTCAAGACCTGATTGATATCAAACCAGAACATTTGCCAGATCACAGGGGTTAATATTGTCTAGCAGCATTACTAATGCATCCACTGCTTACTGGGTTCTTACAGTGCGTCTACACTGCACCATTATTTTGAGATAACTAGCATTATTTTGAAATAACAATGCAAGCGTCTACACAGCCATTCTGTTACTTTGAAATAATTTCAAAATAACAGATGGCTTTTCTAAACTCTGTAAACCTCATTCTATGAGGAATAATGCCTATTCTGAAATAGCTATTTAGAAATAAGGCGTGTGTAGATGCTTCATTGCTGCTATTTCGAAATAGACCTTCACCAGGGCCATTCTAAGTTATTCTTCCCCAAAGCCTCCTGAGGCTCTAAATCAAATTAGCACGTCTACATTAGGGAAGCCTGCCTCAGACTAATTTTGAAGGTTCCCTGCAAATTAGTAGACATGCTAATTTGAAATAAGCTATTTCGGAATAACTATTCTGGGGTAGTCCAAAGGTTTGCATTGATCCAGGGTATAGAATCATAGAATAATAGGACTGGAAGGGACCTCGAGAGGTCATTGAGTCCAGCCCCCCGCCCTCAAGGCAGGACCAAGCTCCGTCTACACCATCCCTGACAGATGTCTATCTAACCTGTTCTTAAATATCTCCAGAAAGGGAGATTCCACCACCTCCCTTGGCAATTTATTCCAATATTTGACCACCCTGACAGTTAGGAATTTTTTCCTAATGTCCAATCTAAACCTCCCCTGCTGCACTTTAAGCCCATTACTCCTTGTCCTGTCCTCAGAAACCAAGAGGAACAAATTTTCGCCTTCCTCCTTGTGACACCCTTTTAGATATTTGAAAACCACTATCATGTCCCCCCTTAATCTTCTTTTTTCCAAACTAAACAAGCCCAGTTCATGAAGCCTGGCTTCATAGGCTTCTCTAGACCTTTAATCATTCTTGTCACTCTTCTCTGTACCCTTTCCAATTTCTCCACATCTTTCTTGAAATGTGGCACCCAGAACTGGACACAGTACTCCAGCTGAGGCCTAACTAGTGCAGAGTAGAGCGGCAGAATGACTTCACGAGTTTTGCTTACAACACACCTGTTGATACAACCTAGAATCATATTTGCTTTTTTGGCAACAGCATCACACTGTTGACTCATATTCAACTTGTGGTCCACTATGACCCCTAGATCCCTTTCCGCCATGCTCCTTCCTAGACAGTCGCTTCCCATCTTGTATGTATGGAACTGATTGTTCCTTCCTAAGTGGAGCACTCTGCATTTCTCCTTATTAAACCTCATCCTGTTTACCTCTGACCATTTCTCTAACTTGCTAAGGTCATTTTGAATTATGTCCCTATCCTCCAAAGAAGTTGCAACCCCACCCAGTTTGGTATCATCTGCAAACTTAATAAGCGTACTCTCTATCCCAATATCTACATCATTGATGAAGATATTGAACAGTACGGGTCCCAAAACAGACCCTTGAGGAACTCCACTTGTTATCCCTTTCCAGCAGGATTTAGAACCGTTAACAACAACTCTCTGACTACGGTTATCCAGCCAATTATGCACCCACCTTATCGTGGCCCTATCTAAGTTATATTTGCCTAGTTTATCAATAAGAATATCATGCGAGACCGTATCAAATGCCTTACTAAAGTCTAGGTATATGACATCCACCGCTTCTCCCTTATCCACAAGGCTCGTTATCCTATCAAAGAAAGCTATCAGATTAGTTTGGCATGACTTGTTCTTCACAAACCCATGCTGGCTATTCCCTATCACTTTATTACCTTCCAAGTGTTTGCATATGATTTCCTTAATTACCTGCTCCATTATCTTCCCTGGGACAGACGTTAAACTGACCGGTCTATAATTTCCTGGGTTGTTCTTATTCCCCTTTTTATAGATGGGCACAATATTTGCCCTTTTCCAGTCTTCTGGAATCTCCCCTGTCTGCCATGATTTTTCAAAGATCATAGCTAAAGGCTCAGATACCTCCTCTATCAGCTCCTTGAGTATCCTGGGATGCATTTCATCAGGACCTGGTGACTTGCTGACATCTAACTTTCCTAAGTGATTTTTAACTTGTTCTTTGTGTATCCTATCTTCTAAACTTACCCTCTCTCTGCTTGTATTCACTACGTTAGGCACACCTCCAGACTTCTCGGTGAAGACCGAAACAAAGAAGTCATTGAGCATCTCCGCCATTTCCAAGTTCCCTGTTACTGCTTCTCCCTCCTCACTAAGCAGTGGGCCTACCCTGTCCTTGGTCTTCCTCTTGCTTTTAATGTATTTATAAAAGGTCTTCTTGTTTCCCTTTATGCCTGTAGCTAGTTTGATCTCATTTTGTGCCTTTGCCTTTCTAATCTTGCCCCTGCATTCCCGTGTTGCTTGCCTATATTCATCCTTTGTTAGTTGTCCTAGTTTCCATTTTTTATATG